ATATCTTCATGAGTAATTATTGATAATTGTCTGTAGAATTATGGATTGAAGACGCAATTGTCATTCATAGGTATCATTATAAAGTAGAAAATTGAAATTTAAGTTACCCATATAGTTTTGTGTATTATATAAAATGCAATATGTAGATACCTCAAGTTCAGTTTATATAAATTGCGGTTACCCTTGAAAATGTGCACGCACATGGTTCGCAATAATTAATCGTATTAAATTAATTTATATTTGAACATTATAGTGTTGCAATATCGAGGATTGTTTATCAGTGTAATTTATATAAATATATACATTTATATATATATATATATACTGTGACTAGGTTCCTATTTTCCTATTTAATTACATTATATTCGATCGCCATCGCTGTTACAATTAATATATATTTAAATAAATATGACTGAGTAATCGATATTATTAACGGGATCTTACCATGTGACGTAAGAGCCAGACAGCACGAACAGCATAGCCGTAGATTCGATTAGTTTGGGCAGACGATGCTTGGTGGTGGCCATATCGAACAGCGTTAACACAATCGGATTAGTGTGCACGGCGTGGTTGTACCAATCCGGTATCCAATTGTTCATTTCATTCGGAAATAATAGCGGCTTGTTCACTGCACATATTGCCCAAAACATAACACATACGTCCTACATAACATTTATGTACTGTACAATTTATAGATTTCAAGTGAAATTATGAAGCACATATTGCATGTTATTAAATAAATAATTGTGTTATTTACCACATTTATATGATGGATTGAGTTAATTACCAAGTACCAACATATTAATTAAAATTCTGATTTTTAGATCTTTTATGTTTGTATCGCCACAAAACAGTTCTTATAATATCGTAAATACTAATTATTTGGGAATATTATACTTTAAAATTATTAAAAACTAAAAATTCTGAACAAATGTATTACCTATCTGTAAACAGTATAAACATAATTCATGAAAATGGGGCGAGTAAACTGAAAAAATCTTGTACCTATACATACACACATACATATAATATTTATATACATGATTAATATTTATATACATGATTAATATTATACATATATAGTATCATTATTATTATTATTATTATATCATAATATATCAGGTATTCGTGTATAAATATTTACTTAGATTCAATTATTTTGATAAAAACAAATGTTTAAACAAATATTTTACATTGTATAATAATAATAATAAGATAATCTATAAAGACAATGTCAACTTTTATATTGTATAA